TTAGGATCTAAAAGGGAGGCACACTGTATGGGTGGGTGCATGCACAAATATCTTGTTCACTTGAAGGCTGTGGTTTCCTGGACATCAGTTCCAAGACAAAAAAGGGGAGAGTGGTGCTTGCCTGCATTGCCTGCATTGTCATTTGTCCACCAGGGGAAAAAATTGCCGTTGTACAGGGGCATTGGGCACAGGCCCCATGGGCAGTGAGAGGAAAACTCATGGAGAGGGACAGAGAAGATGTGATCAAGCTGTGTGAGCATCAACAGTCATGGCCAGAGACAAGTTCTTGACAAAATTTGCTGAATAGATAGGGGTTTTTCAAAGTTTGATGCGATGTTGTACATTACGTTGTGCAATCTCACGCCGGTTGTGCAACTTTGTGCAGCGTGTGATGTGATATAATGCAGTGCTACAGGTTGTTCTTGTGTGATCGGAATTGTGCAGCTTGATGCAACACTATGCAATTGATGTGGTTGAGAGCACACAGGCCTTGTAATGGAGCTGCACAGAGTTGCATTGAGGTTGCACAGAGTTGCATGACCTGGCACAGAGTTGCACAGTGGTACACAGAGTTGCACAGCCAAAACAGAGTTGCACGACATTTTTGTCCAATAAACACCGCCATAAACAAAGGCAACGATCAATCGCGAGCGGATCGGGCTCCCATGTCGCGCTTTTGGCGGAAGGAAATTTCCCCCGCCATTTGAAGCGCTCGACTTGGAGAAATTTCACAGAAATTTGAAAAATTGGACCCTGGTTGTAACAGCAACAGTTTTAAATTCTACATTGAATGAGCCCAACATACTTTTTTTTCAGTCAAAAAACATGTTGGGCTCGTTCAATAGAGAATTCAAAATGGTCCATGTTTCCTCTTTACCCAAAATTTTCAACTTTTACCGAAATTCTACTAAGTCGAACGCTTCAAATGGCAGGGGGAAAATCCATCACCAAAAACGGCTCCATGGAGGCCCAGCCGGTATCTGATGATGCGAGGTCTCGAGCGATCAATGTGTACATGTTTATTCAGATACCGGATGGGGACAAGCCTACCTAGAGGCCTAGCTTTCACACTCTTCCATGTCAAATAAACAGCGCATGCACACCAAATTATTCACAGCCAATTGTCCCTTGGTACAAGCATATTTTCAAAGACAATTTTAGGTTAATTAAACAAGCTAGGGACAGAGGTAATTTGGATGCAGGGAGTATAACTTTCGTTTTTCACAAAATAGAGGAACAAGACGCGAGACGCTTCCGCCCAGCCCATTGCGGGTCCACTACGCTCCTCCTAACGCCGCTCTCCTTCGGCCCCAGACGGGGAAAAAAAAAGCGGATCAGCCCCACCTCAATGCGGGAGGGCCATCTCCCTCCCCCGCTACATTCGACACAGCGGACGCACCCGCCCCGGCAGAGAGAGGTTATGCGCCGCCAAGCCACACATCTCGCCGACGCAGACGAAGCACGAGACCCTCCTCCTCGAGGCTGGTATCGAGCCTCAAGTACGCCTGTAGACGTGCGCCCACCGAACCTCCCAGCGATGCGCCTTCCTCACACATGTGCAGGGGACCGCGGGGTGGGAAGTGCGTGCGAGGCGATGGGCAGATGATGGTGTCAAGATCTGTAAATGCGTGGAAGGCGCAATACCTCAGTCTCCCGCTATGTGGGATCAAAGACTGTATATTAAATACCTGTAAATGTGCGGAAGGCGCAATACTGTACAGGATAAGTAAAAGTATGAAAAGTAAGTAATGAACTCACCCTCAGTCTCCCGCTATGTGGGATCAAAGACTGAGGGTAAAAGACGAGGGCATAGGGTTTATATACATATCTACTGCTGTATCAATCTGACATCTGTCAAAGTCTATTATGGGCCAGAGGCCAGGGCGCTCCGTGGAATAGTTTATTTCCTGACAGATGGGACGAGAGAAGGATCGCCCATCCAACGACGTGCTCACTGCGGACAGGAAGCTCCAGCTACGATGCAGCACCAACTCCGCGTTCGACGCTGGAGCTCCCTCGCTCGCACGTCCAAAAGACACATGATCGCGCCGCCACGCCGACAGAACGCCGCGACACGGACGTCGCAGCGATAACGGTGTTCGCCCCAAGACAAAAGGTCGCCCCTAACACGTCCAATGACACGCACTCGTCGTAGAACCCACGACAGGGTGGAGTACGCCGTCGCGCCGAACACCCCAGCCAGAAGCGGCACCACCTCCACGCATCCACCGTCGACGCAGAAGCCGCCGACACGCCCAGCGAACGACGTGCGCGCGCGCTCGGAAGCTATGCCGACACAGCACCAACATCGTGCACCGACGCAGGAGCTCGCTCGGTCGCGCCCCCACGCTGACGGAACGCCGCCACACCGACGTCGCAGCAAGAGCGGTGTGCCCCGAAAAGAGGTCACCCCACGAAATCACGCCGACGCCGCCACGCACCCTTGCCGCAGACACGGAGAGACGAGGCAGCGTTGGCTACGCCGCCTCGCGGCGCACTAGCCAGGCGTAGCAGCACGCGTGCCCACCCAGGACGACGCAGCAGCACACAGGCGCATCCACCGCCATGACGTACCCTCCGAGGATGACGCGCAGGGCGGACCATCGACGACGCGCAGGCGCAGATCATACACGCAGCACACATCCAGCGCCAACGAGTACGGCGTGTAGCTAGGGCAGCGCGCGACACGCGTGCCCAGCCGACGTAAATTGCCAGCGGACGCAGGACGCAAGACACGAATGAGGCTCATATGTCACGGCGTGCGCGCATCCCGCCGCGCACCACCGCCAGCCACCATGAGATGCAGACCATCGACACAGCGTAAACTTACGGTAAAGCTCGCGCCAACGATCGACGCAGCGCGAATCCTGCGCCGACGAGTACGAAAGGTAGTTGGGAGGTAGCGCGCGCTCATGCTCGTCCAAGAAGGACAAGCTAATGCTGCATGGGAATAGCAGGCTGGTCGCGCAGCATGTACGCGCCTTATGGTCGATGGCCGATGTACGACGTCGGGCCGCGGATGGAGACGGGAGACGCGCTGACGAGACGCGTTCGCGATATCAGGCGATTGCCATACAAAAGAAAGAAGGCGGGCGATAAGGGATACAATGGGTCGGGGAAACGCAAGGGAAGGGGAGGAAGGGAACAGAAAGAGAAAGAAAGTGAAGGACGCAAAGACGGGGCGGCTCACCTAGACTGTCGCAGCACGCGCAGAGGTAGCACGGGCAGTAGCATAGGTTCTCGAATGCGCCTGAACCATCGGCATTAGAACGGATACTGGACAGCGAGAGAACAGTAATACGCATCCTTGCAACACCACGCGCTGAGCATGACGCCGAGGATGCACGAAGAAAAGACGTACACTTGCGCTTCGTAAAGTCCGACTCGGTGTTTGGCCCCGCAGGACCGTCGTCCACCACGCGGCGCACCAGCCCGCTCAGCCACCCCTCGCCCACACCACCCGCGCTTGCGCCCATGTGCATCCCGGAGACGACGCACGAGATCGCGAGCAGCCCCGCGAGGCCGAGGAGGATGAGTAGCGCAAGGAGGAGCGCGCGCCGCAGGGCGTGGTTGTGGTTTTGGTGCGCATGCGAGTGGGCATGCGGGTGCGCGCGCCATTGCTCGTCGTCGTGCGTGTGCAAGTGCTGTTGCTTCTCGTTGAGCGGCGCCTGGGCTTAGATGTCCATGGAGGGCTGCGTCGTCTTGAGCGTCGGCATCATCGTGGTCGTCGTCGTTGTTATGGGCTGCATTGTAATCGTAATAGTTGTGCCTCGGGCTACGCAGTAGAATTGGGGTAGAAACAATTGTGTACAGTGTAGGCTAACACTACTGGCACAATCTATCGCCTTAGACCACTCGTAAAAATATGTGGCGGTGCACGATGACGTCGTGGTTCGCACGGTCATGGAATAGGAGCCCACTAGGCTCGATTCCAGCCTGTATATGAGAGCCAGCGTCGATATACAGGCTGGTCGATCTGAGTTTGAATCTCCATAACACGTGTCATGTCCCCATAAGGCTATTCTCGGCTATTCTCGGTACGTTCGGGAGCTGGAATTTGCGCCTTAATTTGCGGAGAAAACTTGGGGAATTGTTGGAGTAATTGCTGCACATTATTGCGGTAAACCCGAGGTCAAAGTGTGAAATACTGATTGTATAACAAATATTTCTTGTTTGAATTGTCACTATCTGCATCAAAAGCCGCCCGCACGGAACACGGTCCGGAATAGCCTTATATGGACACGCCGCGTGTATTGGGATTTCAAACTCAGATCGACTGGTCTGTATATCGACGAGCTCGCCTCTCATATACAGACAGTCACTGGTCTAGGAGCCCACTTATGCAAGATTTCGATGTAGCAGCTGCAATATGAGCTGAAAGTCCCCATAGAAAAAGCGAGACACTTTCCATAATATAAGAAATACTTCTTTGGGGTTTGTAGAGCATTTCAGCTGGATTTGCGGCCACCAGAAAAGCAAATCCTGTTTTTGATGGTCTTGCATAAGCCCGTATTTGGTCGATCCACCTCGGCCAGGTTCCTGCGAGCGCAATTGTAGCTCAAAAATTATAAGACTTCAGCCCATTGGAATTCATATGGTGAGGATTCCCCACGTGAAATCCGATGGCCTTTCGGCAAACGGTTATGGAGCATAATATCCATCAAAATTATTTTGCAGAATTGAGACAAGCTTAATATGATGCGACAAGTGCATGTAGGCTCATTATGGGACGAGAACCGAGCACAAGAAACAAAAGGTGGAGCTAGAATAATTAACAAGAGGATTTTGCGGAAGAAAAAGAAAGGTCAAATTTTGAACTGTCATTCGGATGCAGGGAGTCGAACCCTGACCTTCAGCATGCGCGGATGCATCAAGCAAGCTGAATAAGGAGCTGATGTGCCCCATACACCACATCCGAGTTATTCCCTTCCTTTCGAGGCTCGGTAAGTGAGTAACTTTCACCTCTGAGTTGGCCAAGAAGAATAGAGACCATCGGCAAATTCGGATGCAGGGAATCGAACCCCGACCTTCAGCTTAGACTCTATATTAGCTGCTGGCTGTGAATAGAACGCTGATGTGCACCATACACCACATCCGAGTTATTCCCTTCCTCCGAGGCTCAATAAGTGGGCACCTTTTAATCTCGGTGTTTAAAAAACAAGAGATACAGGAGTCAAACCCTGCCCTTCAGCTTATACTTGGGTCCCACGCACCGAATAGAAGCTACTGTGCACCACACACCACATCTGAGTAATTCTGACTTGAACCTTGCCAGAGGCATATTTTCAGAAACAATTTCGGGTAGTTACAAAAAAATGGCAGCGGACAAGGGAGTTTGGATGCAGGGAGTCGAGCCTTGGCCTTCAGCATGGGAGAATTACAAGTACTTATGTAATAAGTGATCGTTTCTTTAAAATCCGAGGGGAGCCCGATTTCCGGACTTTTCATTTCAAACACTCGAAACGTTGAGGGACTTCTTTGAGGCTGTGCTAATAAATCTAGTGGCTGTGCCCAGAAACCCTTCATTTTTTTGAAATGTTTCTAGTGGCTGTAATGTTTATTCTTATTGATTGTGGATCAAACCCTGAGTCAGCCAGGAACAACAAACTTTTTCATTCCCTTTTTGTGTGAGGCATTGGTCCCGAAGTTATTGATGTCTGTTATGAACCCCTGTCGGCATCTCTTGGCTTATCTTCTCTTTTTTCTGATTTGTGTCATCGGCACTTTTTGCTATTTACACCCATCTCTTGTTTTTCTCTGTAGATTGTAACCTTAATGTTGGGGCCACTGGTTCGTTCTATAATATAGTTAATTCCTGTATTGAACACTTCAACTGTATGATCCCAAAGCGGTGTTTATGTATTAGCACTGGCTGGCCAAATGTCAGCGCTCTTTGAGTCTTTTAGCCTCTCTAACTAGTTCTCTCGAAACCGTCTTGACACTGTCGATACCATTTTCACTTCAGGTGCCTTAACAATCCAATGTAATGATTTCTTACCTGATTAGGTACACTGTTATCACCACAAGTATTACCACACATATCCTACACTTTGTCAGTCAGCGTCTTCACTTTCCCGTTCACACTCACTCATAGCACAATGTAACTGTGTCCAATACCTTCTGCCATCTTTGGCATCTCCTCCTCTTGTTTTCGTCCTCGTCCATCTGTGCAACGTGTAGCATCCACCTGCGAAGGTCCTGAATAGCCCTTTGCCTGGTATAACGTGGATGTGTGGTATGAACTAACTCATGGTTGAATTTATGAGCATGAGGTTGGTGTAGTTATACTTACCTTGATGAAAGTCTCTGGGCATGTACCATTCAACTAAGAGCCATATCCTCCACTTGAATTTTAGTCATCTGTGGCGGTGATGTCCGGTGCACACTTTACCATCACAATTTGATGGTAAAGTGCGCACCACGCCTTTTTACAGGCCCAACCACCAACTATGGTGTTATTTTGAATGCAAGGATCTGTTGCAGAAGACATTTCAAGGTGTTCTATGAAGCCAAAATTGAGAAAAGACATTTTCTGGGCTTATAAAGCCAACAATGAAATTGCCACCAAAATTCATTCTGCTGCCCCAAATCTACTTGGTCCTGGACAGTTCCTGTGCAGAACATTGCTATTGGCATCAATACAAATAATCTGGATGATTCAGTATTTAAATTCACCATGGATCTTGCATCCTATGCAAGAATCCAGCAGACACGTTCGACGGGAATTCAGTTGTTGTAAGAGGCTTCAGGTACTGAATCTGAAAGGTTTGTATGGTCGCCGTATCCTGGAAGATTATTTCCATTGTGAATGGCCTCTTGTGTTGGATTCCGCCCTTGAATAAAGGCATGTGAGCCACTCTGGCCACCCAATCATTGTATTGACCGTTATGGTAACAAGCCGCATTCCTGACGACGAGGTCAAGAGCTTTTCCTTTTAACCTGGGTTGCATAAGCCATTGGCCAGGTGCGTATCCCTGCATTTGAGGGTGATCGTCTATCTTGTGGAAGAAAATGCGTGGCGCAACATCATCGGGAGGGTTCAAGTCCGTGAATTCTGATAAGGCTGTAGACTGCGGTTTCTTTGAGCAACACCTCTGCTCATATTGGAGCCTAATCTCGTCTAGAATCACTGCTGGTGTACAACTCCACACCTCTAAATGGAGCAAAGTACTGTAAAAGCATCAGCGGCAGGATTGTACATCATCGTGATGCTTACTGTCGCTCAAGAACTTGGTCCTCTTCCACATGGATTAGGCAAGCCTTAAATCGGAAATCACCGAAGTAACCGGGAAAAAAAAAAAAAGTTATAAGTACGACAAAAGTACAAGTCCTGCCAGGCAACGCCACGGCCCTACACCCCAAGTAGGTGTGGTGCATGAAGAGCCGATGTGCACCATACACCACATTCGGGTTGCTACGTTCCCTTTCAAAGCTGGGTAAGTGGGAAATTTTGTCTTTTAAAAAAGAGAAAAAGTGTTCGAAAGGGCCATTCGGATGCAGGGAGTCAAACCCTGGACTTCAGCAGCTTATGTTATGTTTGAGGCTGCAGGCGACATGAAAGCTGATGTGCACCATGCACCACATCCGAGTTATTCTTCACTATTTGAACCATGCCAGAAGGAGAGGGGTTTGCAGAGGAAGAAAGAAAAGATGCGACAAAACAGAGCCATTATTCGGATGTAGGGAGTCGAACCTAGGCCTTCAGCATGCAAGATATTGACCTCAAATGAAGAGCTGATGTGCGCCATACACCACATCCGAGTTGTTCACTACCATTTGAACCATGACAGAGGGATATTTTTGGGGCAAGGATTTCGTTGAATAACAAAATAAAAAAGATGGCAGAAGTCGCACCATTCGGATGCAGGGAGTCGAACCCTGGCCTTCAGCTAACCGATTACAGTTCAAAACAAGGAGCTGATGTGCACCCTACACCACATCCGAGTTATTACATTCCTTTCAAAGCTTGGTAAGTGGGTGACTTTTCATCTCGGTGTTTTAAAAATGAACCCTTCCAAGAAACGTGATTCGGACACAGGGAGTCGAACCCTGACCTTCAGCTAACCGATACCTGCCCAACACAAGGAGCTGATGTGCACCATACACCACATCCGAATTATTATACTCCTCTTAAAGCTCGGGAAGGAGATGACTTTTCACGCCAGTTGACAAAGAAAAGGGAACATCCCACAGAGAGGAATAAAGATGCAAGGATACGAGCCGTAATTAAAACAAAACGGCTAGGGGAAGAGGAAATTCAGATGCAGGGAGTCGAACCCCAACCTTCAGCTTACCGTAAGACATTCTCTACGGTACATATTAGGCCGATGTGCATTATGCACCACATCCCTTTTTTTTTCATTCCTCCCAGGGCATGGCAAGTGGGTGACTTTTTATCTCAGGATTTAAAGAAAATCACCAAGCGGATTCGGATGCAGGGAGTTGAACCCTGACCTGCAGCTTACAAGATCTCTCTTCTACAATAGAAATAGCTAATGTGCACTGTACACAACATCCGAATTATTCCTCACCATTTCAATGATACTACCAGAGGCATGTTTATGGGGAGGGCACTTACAACACCAAATGCGCAAGCACGCTGGTCAGCTTGCTCCCGTCGGGCGAATGCCAAAACAGCAGCATCATGAGCGTGGAGAGCGCGACGGTCCACGTAGACGCAAAGAGCGCGAAATGGACGCGGTCCTGCTCGGTGCGGTTGCGCTCGTCGTGCTGACCCGCAAAGCGCGTTGTGAGCCATGCGGTGAGCACTAACTGGGTTGAAAGCATTAGCAACTGGAGCGGCCACGAATACCAGCACATGCGCACCTCAAATAATCCAAATAGAGTGATGAGGCCGAATGTTCTGCAAATATCCGTCAGTCCACGTCCTTTCAGGCAGAAAAAAGGGGCGCTCACTGGGGTGACCCCGCCGGATGTGGTGCTCCATGCGCATTGTAGATTACTCGAATATTGAACAACGGCGACGACGATCGTGGCCTCCTATAAACGACCCTATCCTCTTCATACGACTCATTACTTGTCCGTACGTGAAAGTACCAGCAAAAATTTTTTTTTTTTTTTTTTGGTGGTACGTTGTCAAAAGACAAATGGTAGATGGACAATTAGCAATTGGCTAGCCTCCAAACCTCGTAAAGAACAGGGGGAGTGAAACCCCCCGAGGAGAACATAAGAGTCACCGCCCAGGGAAATGCATTTTAGCACGAAGCGGGGTGCGACAGTGTGGGACTTTGAGCTATCGGTTCCGTCCTCGCCGGCCCTCGGGCCGGGGAGGGGGGTGCGATGATTTTGGCTCAATACCCACTAAAACCCTGGGTCCTTTGGTCCAGTCAGGTTGTAAGTCATCCTCGTTCAGGAGTGTTTGCCTCCAAGTGCTTATGACAAGCGATGACGGGATGGAATTTTGTTTACCATATTTTTCATGGTCCGTGAGAAGACAATCAAACTGTAGGCGCTGGTTTATCGCGTGCAACCATTTATTATGTACGGTGTTTTCGGACATTAGCTCGCCAGCTTTTTTAATCACAGTTTCGTTCCGTATCTTCCAAATCATGAAGGCAGATTCCGAGATCAGGATGCGGAAAAAACGGCGGGTGCCGTGGAGTTTACGGCTGTTATCATCGGAGAAGGAGGCTACACCACAGCCGAGAATAATACCTATAGTGAGTGTAGGCCAAGAGGGGTGTTTTTTGAGCCAGAGTTCTCTGGCGAGGGACCAGATCAGGCTTTGGCCGGGTCGTGTGCATTTTAATAAAATGTGCTCCAGATCCTCAGTCTCATTGCACGTTTGACATATGCCGCGTTCTTCACATTCTGGGATGTGTTTCCAGAACGCTCCGATTCGATGGGCTGAGTGGGCTGATTTCCAGAGGAATTGTTTCACTTGTCGAGAGAAATCATCGTCGCGAAAACTGAGCCATATTTGCGATGCCGAAGGTAAGACGTCGAATTGATCGCTGATATCTGATATGATTTGTTTGACGTTGTTATCCGTGGATTTGCGAACCACAGGGCCCCGTAGTTCTTTTATTCCTGCATAGGCAACCGCCTGGGAGAGGCTGGACAGCTTTGCCCCGTTCAGCTGGAAGGGGAGATCAACGCCATAATTGACTGGACTCGGGGTTTCTTTTAGGGAGCCAGCCTTTGCCAGCACCAGCGCACCGGCGCGGCCATCGAGTTTCCTTCTGTCGCCGTCGGGGTCTTCATCGGTAAAGCGGGTTTGGCTAGTACGCGCCTTGAGCTCTGCCACCAGAGCAATTAGGGGCTCTCGGTTTGGAACTCCTATCCAACCCCGGTCCTCCATTTCTTCGAGGCGGGACGTCATCATCACGCGTGTCAGGCTTTTCGCGCTGTCTATGACGAGTGGCTTGTCTCGTGGAGCCTTCTGGGTCCCGAGAAGGGTTGCGGTGGGTTCTGCTGATTGCGCACACTGGGGAACATGGTCAGGGAGTCGGATGGACATATTCCGGGGGTCATTGCCGTCGTACCAAATCCCTCCACCAGCCACCGGTTTTTCGCTTGGATGGTGCCGGATGGCACTGCTGACATGCAGGACTAGCTCCTGTGTGGGAATATCTTGACGTGGAGGGCGCGGTGGGCCTTGGAGATGTAGATTCTCAGCTTCTTTACGAGGTCTGGTGAAAACTCGGAAACCATCTGCAACATTTGTTATCTGTCACGGCGGCAGAAAAAGGCCGGGGATGTCCGGGAGTTCTTCGTCTTCTGGAGCTGGAGCATTTCTTGGGTCCCATTTGGGGAGCAGCCGGCTAAGTTTACGCTGTGCGGCACATGCACACGCATGTGGATTTGTACATCCGCGCGAGGTGCGGTCCTCATTGCATGCAAAACATTTACAGGTTTTATTTGGCTTGTGGGATGTGTCGTGCAGTCGCTCTATGATTGGGAGGGCATCGCCCACATAGAGTACTCCGTGGTTTTCTCGCAGGCAGGTGAGAGACTTTGATTTGTTCACTTGACTTTGATTTATGTCTTCCCCGAAGTGGTGATAAAAAGGCATTCTATTTCGGATAGATTGGGTCGGTTGAATTGTGTTAAAAACGACACCATATTTCTTTGCACACCTTAGCATGCTCTTGTGACGCTTCGGCAATTTCTGCTTGTTCGCATTCCATTTCTGGAGGAACATATTCATGAGTGTGCCGGGCTCGGCATGTGAGTCTTTAGTTACAATTTTTTCGAGGCGCACATCTAGCATAGTACCCCATTCTGCCCGGGACTCAGGGTCAAGATTGAGGTAAGACTTCAGTTTCATGAGTTGGAGAGCCTCATTTCTTGCCTTCAGGTCCAGGAGGTTTTTTCCTCCTTCGGAGCGGGGGGCCATAAGCATTTCAAAGCTTACTGGAGCAGATTTCCCACCCCACATAAATTCCCGTTGTGCTTTCAGGAGATGGTTTAAAATAGCAGGCGGCATTTCATTCACTTGTGTGAGGTATTGCGTCATAGATCCAATGGTTATTTGAATTATCTGACAGCGTGCTTCAATGGTTGGGTGAAGCATGTCCCAGCGAGCGAGCGCGGCATCAATCTTTTCAACAACGGGGGTCCACATTGCGAAGTTGCTTATCTTATTTCCGACATGGCCTCCTAGGATGCGGACGGACTCGCCGTCCTTTGCGATATGGATGTTGTCTGGAATAGCACTGCCATGGCCATTTAATCGTCGAGTGGTTATCATGGAGTCACGGTACTCTTGAGAGCCCATAGGAATTATTTCGGTTTTGGCGACATTAAACTTCGCGCTTGAGGCCAGGCACCAGCGCTGCAGGAGTTCCTGTAAGTCTTCGAAGCTGTCCTCGGCGTCTAGGTAGACCGTGGTATCATCCGCAAACATTTTTACCACAATCCTTTCCAGGATTTTCGGGGCCGAATACCCACGTAGGTTCGAACATCGTAACATGTGCGCCAGTGGTTCGATTGCAATGTTGAATAGTAGGCATGAGAGAGGGTCTCCTTGCCTAACTCCCCTAATTATTTTAAAAGCGGAGCTTATTTCCCCATTTATGACAATGTGGGTCTCAGCATCCGCATACAGGGCTCTGATAGTATTTATGAAGAGATCAGGGATGCCGCGTTTCCGCATCGCCTCCCATAAGTATCTATGCGATGTCTTGTCGTAGGCTTTTTCTTGGTCAAGAGCACAGCTGCACCGTTTTGGAGCTCTTCCTCGGCATACTCGACCGTTTCCATTGCTAGATATATCTGGTCAACAATTTTCCGGCCTCTCATGAACCCAGCCTGGTCTCGGTGAATCAACGCTGGTGCTATCCTGGATAGTTTATTAGTGAGGGCCTTCGTAAAAATTTTATAATCTGTGTTTAAGACAGTGATTGGGCGATAGTTCGCAATGTCAGAGGGATCTTTCTTCTTCCAGATGGGGCACATCCATCCGGTAGCGAACTGGGTGCCCTCAACGACACCGCATTTCTCAATACTATTGTATACTCGGGTGAGGACTTTGACTACGTTAAAGACCGGCTGGGGTGGGCCATTTGTCGCTTCATTCGCACGCTTTGCTTCAAGATAAAGCTCCTGCAGCTTCTTCCAAAGTTCTGTTGGAAGCCCGTTTATTCCGGCTGCAGTGCCAGAGGCCGACTGCAGTAAAGCAGTGAGGACATCAGCCTCAGTCAAAAGTTTCGAAAGGATTTGCATGTTCGGATCATTTTCGTGGGAGCTCATTCCTTCCATCACGGCCGCTATAGCTGCAGTTTTTGCGTCCGGGTCGA